TCTGGCGAGATTCTGTCTATTAGGTGCAAGCTAATAAAGGAACTGGACTGGACCACCTCATTGTTGATATACCCCGTGAGACTCTAGGGAGGGGTCAGTCTCAGCTTCTTCCTATTCTCACGGTCTTGCTGTGGGCTGAGGAAGCACTTGCTCTGCCATCTCTCCAGGAATGCTTCCCCTCCCTCCTGATAACCTTGATCCTCCATTCCAGTATCCTCCTCACATATGCCTTCCATTACACCCTGAGGACCAATGAAAGAAAAGAAAGGGGTTCTGTCAGGGTTTGGCGAGAAGAGTTTTGAGTGTCTTTTGTGTGAGGGAATTGATGGGAGTCCTGGATGAGAGGTCACCTCAGGCAAGGTTGAAATATATTTTGTTATAGTTAGAATTGCAATAGGGATTTTTGTATTTAAATGGTGTGTTGTGTGTGTGTAAACTTATTTTCTTTGGGTACCATTAATCAAGTTTATTTTTTGTTTCAATCCTGAAATTGACCAGTTGACTTCTATCACCCACCTCAGCTTGGCTGAGCTACTGACTCCCAAAGTTTTTGTTTTGGTTTCCCTTTTTGTATTTAGCCAGACCCAGGGTGGGGCAAGGCTTTCCCCTTTAATCTTTTCCTGGCTCCCCAGAGGGCTGGTGGGAAAGGGAGAAACCGGTTTATAATGACCTAATTTTCCAGTTATGGTTACAGTGACTATATTTTCTTGGAAAAACTAAAGGACAAACCTGAAAAGGGGGCAAATCTGAAATAGGTTTATAAGGATAAAAAAAAATGTTTATGTTTACAACTTTGCTTTACAAAGGAAAATCCAAGAGCAAAACCAAGGAAATAAATAATTAAATTAAATAAATCTAAAGTACAGCTTTCTGAAATAAAGGATTGTCCTTTATAATGAAAGACGTATAGTCACTGTATTTATGGTTCACCCACAGGCACGGTTATCTCAGAATTGAAGGACCTCAGAAGAGGGGTGGTTCGACCTTGCGGGCGCCTTTTTCCCTAATTAAAATTGTCCATATGGAATACTTGCTTCAGCAGGCTATGGTGTGATTTGATTTTTTAAAATGTAATTCTGATATAGATTAGATTGTCAAGATGTGAGTTGTGTCCAAGCTTGTTAGCTTGGATTGAGAATGAGGCTGGATTTATGTAACTAATCTGAAATCAGTTTCAGAAACTCCAGGTGGTTTGGCTTATGTGATAATAACTAACAAATATCTATATGCTACCTTGATTGTTTTCCAAATTTAAGCGTGCATTGTTGATGGTCCCACTCCTTTTATCTGACACAATAAGAGAAACCTATCCATCTGCTTCACACATGATGCCCCCTAATGCATCTTTGCCTATTTGTGCTAGTTTTCGGCGCCTCTGTCATTACATTGTCAATCTGCGCTACTTTGAGATCTGCATTCTGATGGTGATTGCCATGAGCAGCATTGCATTGGCTGCTGAAGACCCTGTACAGCCAAGTGCTCCCCGTAACAATGTAAGTCCTCCTTTGTCTCTATTGGTGCAACATACATAAATTGCAGCTCCTGTTCTTCCATTTTCTAGCCATGAAAATGAACCATGAGATATTGAAATTAATACAGTATCAGTAGCCCTAAAATGTGTGGCAGGTGAGAGGGGGCAAACTATATTTTTAAATATGTTCAGCAAGGTGCAGTCTCCACCTGAACTAAATCTCCTTGGGCAATTAAAGATGCTTGTTAGGACTTTCCTCAATATTGATTGACCATCAGCAGTTTATTCCAAATTTGTGATTGCTGGTACTGACCCAGAATGAAGCTGGACAGTATCCCAGTAAGATACTTTCCTGTATAGAAGTCTTATCAAAGTAGCAAACAAGATATTGTGGTGAGAGAAAAAGGACTTTTACTTTCTTAGTTCCTTGTTTCCTTTTGGGGGGGAGGGGTTCAGCTTCATTTCTCTATTTGATATAGCAATACTTTGCATGTGAAGTAATGGTTATCTCATGTTATGCAGCTTATTTCATGTTGCTGTTTGTAGCTAGGATTCATAACCATGTAGGAACTTATAGAGATCCAATGCCTATGACCAACTGACTTGGATTCTGTAGTTCTGTACAGATCACAGATCTGAGATTATTACTTGGCTTTGTAATTACTTCACTGTGCACTGTAAACTTTGGATTATATAGAGGTAGGGTTCAAAATGAATTAATTACAGCTGCAGCTGAAAATCATACCATATGCTCTTTTCTGTCTATCTATATCTGTGCAAATTTCTAGTGAAATAAAAAAAAAAAAGATAGACCTAGTAGAGTAACTTGCCAGTATAATTTATATCAGTGTTAAAATACCATTTTCACAAGCCCCTCTGAATTAAATCCTGTTTTATTTTTACAGTGGGTTCTTTTGACTCTTTGCTCTATATTTTCTAAGAGTTACTTCGTACATTAATATACATGCCCATTGTATATCCCAGATTTTTGAGAATATTTTTAAAAAGCAAATTGGGGTGAAATTGTTTAAAACTATAATTCTTAGAACACATTGTGTAAAGGCTTGAATACTCTTCCTATTTCTCTTGCTCAAAAGTCTTGCTTGGATTTAAATAGACTAAAGAGGAGGCAGTGGGAGGAAAGGGAGAGAAAGCAATAAATCAGAGTCTGGCCTGTGAGCATCTTACACTGCGCTTTCTTTTTCAAAAACTTCTGAGCAGGTCTTGTGAGATATCCCTAAGGAAACAGTAATGAAATAATTAGCACAGCATCTCAATAGGAGGATGGGCAGGAAGCAGACTTTCTGCATTAGGCAGCAATAAGAAATCTTTATGCTGCCATGTAGAAAAAGCAACTCAGAGATCCAAGAACTGTACACCAACTGAAAACAAGGGTAACCAGATGGAATCTAGGCAGCCAGTAACATTATTACACAGTGGAGATTATTCATCTCCCTCTCTAGATTAGAAGGTTCTGGGTGACAGAGGAGGGAAGTGGTATAGTGTAATTGCACATTAGAAGCAGAAAAGTGGCTGTGATTTTGGCAGTGTAAAAGAGAGGACAAGTAAACAAAGCAACTAACCCAGCCCTTTTTGCCACTGCTTCCAAATGGATATCTGTATGCCCAAGATTTCTTGCTTAATAGTTCTTAAATTTGAAGTTTAAATAATAATCTAGAAAATTCTCTACGCTACTCAGGATAATATGGCACTTAGCCATTGGTTAAATAAAAAACATTTTCCAAAGCGAATTTGCATCGTTGATGTTTTAGTAACATAAAACAATTGAATTTTGAAAACATGTTTTTTAAAAAATACTGGAGAATGAGGATTATAACCCTTACATTCAGTGCCAATTTTGGATGTTCATGTTTATTTTGTTTGGCTGAGCTGTTTGCTTGTCTGCAGCTCAGCCTGATGTGTCTCCTTTGGGACTGGTTCCAGTGAGATTTTTAAGCCCATGCAGACTTCTTCCTGCCTATGTCAATACAATTCCTGTTGCCTTCTCATCTTTAAAATGTCCTGATAGCTGCTGATAGTTGCTGCTCCCTTCCATAGGTGGAAAGCAGTTTTCCTGCCTCTAATTGTCTCTCTTTTGCTTTTGCTTTCACTTCCCTTTTGAAGTCTCTCCTTTCACTTTTTGTGCGTGTGTGTGTAATAAATTATCAGTGTGACATAAACCTGCTTGTAGCCTTAAGAAACAGTCTCAGGGAATCAGTTCAAGGCTCAGGGTGAATTTAAAAATGACTGCAAGAGATTTTAGTTATATCTTTTTTATTCACTTGATCTTATACTGAACAGCATACTTAAATTTTAATTTGGCAAAAGTGCAGATGCTCTCTGCTGTGGGAGCAGCCAATTTGTGTTAAACTCAGCCTAAAGATTATCATTCCATTGCTTTATTTGATATCCTTGACCCTGTTGTTTTGCAGACCTTCTCAATAAATGTTGATTTGTCAATTTCATGTGTACTGATGTGTACTGATCATCTTGCTGTTTCCCCCTCAGATTCATCTTTTTCCTAGCAACTTCAAAAATCAAGGGACAGCAGTAGATATAGTGTCCTGTTTAGAAGTGATAATTCTCTGTTTGAAGAAATGCTATATTTGAAGTGCTGTTGAATCAAAGTACAGTGTAAAATTCAATACTATCATAAGGAAAAATGCAGGCTTTGAAGATGCACACCACTAATTTGCTGCTCCCATCCTTTTGCTACTATATATGATAGGATGAACACTTTTCTTTATAACATAACTTTTTAATTCACTGCCATCATTTCAAATCATTTACTAAAATATGACAACTGTTGTCGTTCAGAGGAAATACATAAATGCTTTTTCTTTCTCTTGTTGTGATAACATGGGATTTTAGATGGAGAGGAAAGAATTTAAATCAAGTTACATGCTACTCTTCAGTAGAACAAGGGACTTTTATTTTTAATGTAATATATTACCCCATGTGCCTAATAATAAGTCAGTCCATTTGCTTACTTTTTTACAGAAAAAAAAGTTATTTCTCACTATGTGGGTATCACCAAATTTATAAGTAAAGCTTTCTCATTCTTTCCTTAGTTTTTATTACTATTTACTATTTTGTTTCTTTATTTTTACTAATAGACAACTATTCTTTTCTCTTTAAATATGGTTCTTCTCGACACTCTCAGTCCAGGCTCTGTTTAAATCTGAGGCCTTTTCCACATGTGGAGATGGCAGCTATTTCAGGTCACTCCTCCTCCCTATGTCTCCACAATGTTGTGAGCTCACATGGGACTAACAACTATCAGCTTGGCTCCTACTCCAGAGAAAATGCTGTGAAAACAATTTTGCAGTGTTTCTTCTGGAGCTGCAGAGAAGACCAGTTCTCACCTCATGCAGTTTCTCCCCTTCTGCCAGGTAGCCTGGCACTGTTACCCTTTGCCACACACACTGCATCCCTCTGCATTCACATTGAGGCGAGGCTTTGCTGCTCCCCAAACATAATAGTCTTTATAAAAAATATTTTTAGTGCTCCCTCACCAACCAACTGGAGAGTAACTAGCCAACTCAAGAAGGGAAAGATGAGGACAGCTTCCAACTGCCACTCAGTGGTGTGAACATGCTGTTTACATGTATTTGAAGCTGGAAGCCACGTGGAAAAGCTCTATTTTAAAACCCTTTTTTCCCATTCACCATCATCATGTTTTTCACCTTGGCTGCAGGGATTATTAGTTCATGTTCTACAAGGAAGCTGATTCTTCCTGACCAAACAAAGTACAGTTAAACTGATTTCGTTGCTTCAGCGATTCTGGTTACCGGTAGAGTCTTTCCTTTGCTACCTGAAACTCTGAACCCTTCCTCAAGATTTGCTCACTTCACATTGGCTTAAAAAGAGGCAATGAGGTTTGGCTTGATTGCAAGATCAGTTGGGATCATTTATTTCAAAGGAGTTAGCAAGTCTTGAACTGTATATTTTTATTACTCTCTCTTCTCCCTATAGGTTCTTCGTTACTTTGATTATGTCTTCACAGGTGTCTTCACCTTTGAAATGGTTGTTAAGGTTAGTAACTGGAAAATCTGTTGGTCGGGGGGACTAATATTATTAGCATAGTTTCACTGCAGGCATGATGTCTTGGGAACAAAAACATATTTTTCTCATCCAGTAAACAATCCTTTCAACTCTCTTCCTGAATAATCACTGAAAGATGAAACTGTTCTGATGTGTTTACAAAAGCATTCACAAACCACCATCACTATTTCATCTCAGATCTAAAAAGAAGTGTAAGCAAAGATAACTTCAGTAAATGAGTACAATGTAGTGAACCAGATTTGAATGCTCAACTATTTGAATTCACTGTTTCTCATACACAGGTAATCAGACTTTGTTTCTCATTACTAAATGTAGTTTTGAGGATAATTTGATTCCAGAGTAATTAACCACAGCTAGCTCTTTGGGAATAGGAACTAAAAAGCAAGCTCTGGTGTGTTTTCTTCTGGACTCACTTCATCTCTCCACTTTCAGACTATTCCAACAGGTATTGTGGATCTTTTCTTACTTAGCCAGGAATATTGCCATACAAGTAAAGTTATGGTTATGATAGTCTTATCTGGCAATATAATACATTTTTAAGACATAACAAGGCCCTTGCTCTTATTCACAAAATAAATAGAGATGGAAATTTATGAATATTTAAGCTGTATGTACTGCAGGAGAAGAGACATGTGTCAAATTAGGGCTTTCAGCAGTCATGCTCTGTTCACTTTACTTTCAACATCACCAGTGCTCTGATTCTTCAGTGAACCTAGCAGGTATTTGCCATGGTTCAAGGGTTGCCGACTAAGTTGTATCACCAGACTATGAACTGTCCCTTCTAGTTGCTAGGTCTGATAAAAATCTAGCCTCAAATGTTGCTAAACTTTGCTTTATCTTGGATTGTGGCCTATGTCTTATTTTGGTCTTATGAATGTTGCTAGTAGCATTTTTACCTGGCTTGTTGCCTTGGAGCTCAACTCCAACCTGCCTTTGAGTATGCTTTTGTCTCCTACCCTCAGATCTTGATCAACTTTCAGCCTTGTCTATAGGGAAATGTACAAATGTAAATATTGGTGACCTGGACAGACATCTAATTCAGGTCATTCACAATAGCAATAGTAGTGTGGTAACCAACCAAAAATTAGACTCAAAGGCTGAATGTTAGACTGAGTTTATGACTGATCTATATCCTTCTCATAACTCCCAACATTCTTTTATTAAAACATGTTTCTTATTTGATTGATAGCCCTAAGTATGCTTTTCTTCTTGGTTTTCTCATTACATATATGCAATATCTCAAGATATTTTCTTTGTGGTTTTCTTATAGTTGTGACTGATGACCACAAGATAATACTATCATACCTTATAAGTTAGCAGTGTAATTCTAAATGCATTTAACTGGACTGCAGTCTCACTTTCTAACTCAGTGGCTTCTCCAGGCATTTGTTTGTTGAATCTTATTCTTTATGGGCTGCTTTGTGGATCATAGGTTTCACTTTCTTGATTCTTTCAAGTGCGTGCTGTCTAAAATTATCATGTGACAATACATTCCCAAGATAATAAGAAGGGGAGAGTCAATATATCATGAAAACACTTGTACCAGTATTTTTTTTTTTTTACAATAGCATTTGAAATGGCTCTGAATTTAAAGGCTATTTTCCAGATTATTATAGTGATGCATTTAGCAGCACAAAAATGAGCACAGCTCTTGAAGAATATTTTCATAGCACTATATCGATTCTAGTTGTAGAGTGTGATGATAGCTCCTATGTGACAGAGCTTAAGAGAAGTAATCATAAATCCTAGACAGATTCATTTCTCTTCAAATGCCATTTTGAAGCACCAACACCATAAAATATATGGGAGGGAATATTATGACTGTGAACGTTATATATGTATCCAGGAAAAAAACCCAGTATTTTAGACTCTTACATACTAGCATACCAATTCTCAGGTATACCAGTTCATGTATCCTAAAATCCTTTAAGTCAGGCTTTGATCTCTGAACTAGATGTATTATTATTATTATTATTATTATTATTATTATTATTATTATTATTATTATTATTATTTTGGACTGGACATAAATAATAGAATTGTACTTATAAATCTATTTTTAGTATTTTTATTTTCTTGAAAGAAAGTTC